GCCCCAGATTGCCTCTCCTACTGCACATGGAACTACAGCACTTAGTGTGTGCCCTGCTGGATTTTGGTCTTGCTTTGTTCACATTCTTGCGACAACCGTGTTTGTAACTTTTGGGATGGAAATGTGTCTCTTCGGCCACTGACGGTTGAAAGTGTTTAACCTTCTTTTCCTTTGTAAGGGACTCACAGCTAAGAGTTTGCCTTAAATCTCAGAGGAGACTTTTGACTTGTACTTTTGAGCTATGTTGAAACTGTTAGGACTTTGGCAACACTTGGAGATGGACTAAACCAGTTTGCATAAAGGCATGCGCATGAGTCCTGGGGGCGCAAGGGCAGAATGTTATGCCTTGTGTCTAAGAACTCCCCCAAAGCATCATATACTCATAGGTAGGGCTTTTCAGTGGTGGCTGGATCTAGAGTGTGTGGTGCTGGAATTGGAGGTGCATGATTACTTAATAAGTCCACTGCTTGGTTTAGCATAGTACTGGATAGGACTAAAGATATAAGGGACAGAAAGAGAGTTGTCTCTTCCTAGCGTTGCTTCTTTGCTTGTTTTGCTGCCTTCCTCCCAACATGAACTGATTCTACACTGCCATGCCCTTCTGCCATGCCACCATGTCCTGGAATCAACCAATCATGGACTGAAAGCTTTACAAACTCTGAGCTCAATAAACCTTGCCTCCTTAAACATCGGATGTAGGGTGTTTTGTCTCAGCAATGAGAAAAAGTAACTAAGACACCTCGCCATTCCATCTTCTCATTCACAAAGTTCCTTGGAGTCACTCAGCTGCTTTACAATGTCCAAATGGCCGTGCTCCACATGTGTAAGCAATTACAATGACACTGCAGCCCAGGAGGGAGGATAGAGGAGGTGAAAAGAGGATAAAAAGGAGATAAGAAAATCAAGATTTTCAGAATTGTACTTTTGGGGCACCAGGTCTCCCTGGATCTGTCAGGCTGAGGAATGCACCCTATGCTGGGAGGGCCAGGTGCCTGCTCCCCTGGGAGAGGCTGTGGAATCTCTGTGTTTCCCCAAACCCTGCCCTGTGTGAGCCCTTTACACTCACACCAGAGTGAGGACAGCACTTGCCAGATGTCAGTGAGTTACTCTAGTGAATAGCAGAATTTGAGCCCTTTATTTATGTTGTCTTCTTACCTAGAGGCTCAAGAATGGCCTCAAGCCCATAATGAGTTAAAAAAAAAAAAAATGACATTCCTAATCCTGGAAATTCCAAGGCTTTCTGAAGTTCTGCTCCTGGGCTCAAGGTCACAGCCCACCACTGCTACTTATTTGTGCTCACTGCGTTGCAGTCTGGTCTGTGGGAGCGCCCTGGAAGGCCATGAGTGGCATCAGCCCAGTACTCAGCTTGAGTTGTGGACGTGCTGGTTCAGGTCCCCTGGTCTGAAGTCTCGAGTCTGGTCAGAGTGACTAGTTTTCAGTCACCAGAACACCCTGATCTGGAGTATACTGCACTCCCCTCACTGGTCACCAGAAAAGCAAGCAGGGAAAACAGCCACGGTGCTTCTCAATTTCAGTGCTCGGCAATGGCTGTGTTTCCTGGAAGAGAAGCTTCCAGAGCTTCAGTTTCACTTTCCTGAGCCTGGATATTCTGTGTTGTGCACTTTGGGTACCTTGCTTCCCTGCTGCTGTCCAGATTCCTATGGGAGGAGGGTAGAGCCAAAAACTATTTAAATCCTCAGAGCTCCTCACACACGGTGCAGTACTTTTTGGTGAAGGTCAGCAGAGTTTTCCTCTGTGCTCACCACCCAAGCCCGACCTGCACTGCCTACAGAAGACGGGTGCGGGCAGAGCGAGTTCTGTACCTGGGCTTCACCACGCCCAGCACATTCAGCTCTTCTAGCAGAACTTTAGGAGCTCAACTCTGACACCAGAAATCTGTTTTCTCTAAGAAACTGGTGAGTGACAAAATATTTTGGAATTCATGGACAATATTAGAATTAATACAATTAATATTACTAGAATTAATACTTTAGAATAAATATTTTAGAATTAACAGAATTAATACTTTAGAATTGATAGGTTACTGGGTCAGAGGGTGGAAGAAACTAGATGCTGGATTTGGGTGTGAGGGATTTGCGAGCTGAGGAGGGGGTGGTGCATGGATGCCATAAACTACTCAGACAACTTGGGCATCTGGACGCTTTCAGAGGTCAGTCACAGACAAACTTTCCCCCTCGCACTGCTGAAGGATCCTCTGAAAGACAGCAGGGTCAGTGGACAGGGTCCTTCACAGAGAACTTCTGACATCACACACCCCCGACCTCACATCTAAACACCCAAGCAGGTCCACCATCAAACCAGAGGGCCTGAGGGGACCGTTGGCCCTGTTCTGACCCTGTGTGCACCGCTCCCCAGCAAATGCTGGCTTTTGCCTTTGCCTCTTCCAGATGAGCTCTGCGCTTGCAGGGGGATTCACCTTGGATCTCAGCCCTGATCTTCATTTGCTAAGGATTAGGTCACAGTTCGCTCACAGCTGGTCAGTGTCCTTGATCCTCCATCTGAAAGTGAGAACCACTGCAACAGTCTTGAAGAGCCATGAGCATGAGCCGAGGATTTCTGTGTTGATATTCACCTGCGGTCCTTGATGGATCCTGCTCACTTGCTCCTCTGTCTCTCCTGCTCACACCCTGTGAGTGCACTGGATGGCTCAAGGACGAGGAGACAGGCATCTGGGAAAGGGCTCTGCCCAGCTATCACAGATTAATTGTTGAGAAGAAAGTCGTGTTTAACAGCACTGTACTTAAACCAGGAGGTGATGTGTGAGATTAAGACTGGATAATAGGCATGGGCTCTGTGTGGTTGAAATTTTCTTGGGACCCAGATTTGGAGGCCCTCATGTGTCCTCTCCCGTTCCTGTCACTGGTCCCCACTCTCTTTATCTGCTCAGTTCCTCAGCACCCGTCTCAGCAGACATTTCTACACCCTCTGAGGGGTCCCCCACCCCTACGTCCTCTGAAAATACCCCGGGGTCAAGTAGCAGGTGTTGCGGCTGTGATCGGGTCCTCTCTGAGGTCCTGGCTAGCTGTGGCTGTCCCGTTCTTAGGCTTACTGATTCTATACTTTAAAACAGCTTGTTTCCCAAAGGAGCTCCAGAGTGGGCTGCTTTCTACACAGCAAGGAGATGCCTTTTCAGCTGCCAGATGCCCAAGGTTCGCCCTCTCATTTACGTGAAGGAAAGTCCTGCCGTGCCCCAGCACTAACACCATGCCCCTTAGTGGCTAATGGATCCCTCACCCGCTTGGGGAACCAGGCAGGCCTCCCCCCTTCTGCTTTCTATGGAGAATGCTTGCATCCCTGGTCATGGACACCACACCAGATCCAGAATACCCACTTAGAAAAGTTCTTTCTCAAGCTTTTCTTGCTATCTCCTGTCCTCCTGGGCTATGGAAGGTGACTGCCAGGAGGCCTCTGAAGGAGGGAGCCGATCCTTTACTGGTGCCAAGTGCGCCACTTCAACCTGTCTTCTGCCTGGACGTGATCTTGGCTCTGGCTATAAAGCATCTATCTTTCTGAGAGATTTGGGGTAAAGTACTTCCACATCCTTCATTCTATTTAGTCCTGGGTTTATGATTCCTTCTTGTGCCTAGACTGCAGGGATATAGCCTTCTGTTGTTAAAGACGTGGAGGTACTGAGGACTCCAGAACCAGGTACATCCACTGCTGACATGAGGGAAGCTGACAGAGGGACCTCCTTGGCCGGCCTCCCTTCACAGAACACCCTCTCCTGCCCCTCCTGCAGCCTGTGCTCACACCTTGATTTCATCTGATGACTCTCTCTGCCCTGATCACTCCCCGAGTGGCTCCTCTCCCTGCCTGACTATTGGCCCTTTTACTACAAAGGCTGAAGTCTGCTGAGGAGTGGGCTCCCAGACAGGTGGCTGGTGCTTGGATGACCCATGTGGATACTCCCGCATGTTCTCCTTCTTCTTTGTATATTTATATTCTTTAGAGCAGTTTCAGTTTCAGAGAGAAGAGAAAAACAATCCATCCACCCGATCTCCTTACATACACATAGTCTATCCATTATCCACACCCTCCACCAGAGTGGTGCATTTGGGACAGCAGAGGAGCCCGGATGACACACAGTACCACCTAAAATCAATCATTTAGAGTTGGCTCTTGCTTGGTACACTCAAGGGTTGGACAAGTGTGTAATGCCTCCTGTGCAGACTGATCGCGTCATTGCAAGTATTCTCACCCCCCAAAACGTCCCCTATGTTGGGCCTTTTCACCACCCTTAATCCCCAACAAACACAGATATTTCAAGAATTTTCCATTACTTTGCCTTTTCCCAAACCTCACGGAATTGGAATCATACAGTAGGTAGTCTCTTGACTTCTTTCATTTACTAAAGTGCATTGGAGCTTTTGTTCCCTTCAAGTCTTCTCATGGCATAACGGCTTCTTCCTTTTTCTCACGGAGCTGTATTCCATTGTCCAGAGGCATGACGATTTCATAAGCCATTTACTTACTGTATAACAACCTTATTGTGTTCACAGTTTGGCATTCTGCAAAAAGCTTCTAGAAGCAGCAATGTCCAAGTTTTTCTGTGAACAAAGCTCTCAACTACTTTCTGTAAATATCAGGGACTGAATGGTAAGTTTATTTCCTTTTATAAAAACTGCCAAACTGTCTTCCAAAGAGGATTGCCATTTTGAATTCCTGCCTGGGATGGAGAACCATCCTGCTGTCCCGAATCCTGGCCAGCATGGGTTGTGGTCAGTGTTCAGACTGGTGCTGCTCCTACTGGCCTTAGTGGCTTCTCATCACTATTCTCATTTGTACTTTCCTCACTGCACCCTGGGTGGAGCGTATTTTTATGTGTACCTCTGCTCTGGTGAGATGTACGCTAACATCCTCGGTCTGCTTTTCACTCATGTTATTTGTTTTCTCTTTTGTCAGTTTTAAAGATCTTTGGGCGTTCTGTGCTATAGTCTTCTATCAGATGAGTGTTTGTAATTTAGAGACTGAACCCAGAGCCCTTGCACTCAGCTACCTGCCCAGTTCTTTTTAATTTTGTAGAGACAGGGCCTTGTTCAGTTTTCTACACTGAGCTTCTTCTTGTGATCTTTCTGCCTCAGCCTCCCCGCTATACACCGAATCCCTGTGCCAGCTTTACAGCCACATGCCACTGTATGCAGTTCCTTTGCAATTTTTTTTTTTTTTTTTTTACCAAAATATGGATCGGTCCTTCTATTTTCTTGATGCTGTCTTTCATAATTTTTAAAATTTTGACAAAGTCCACATTACCAATTATATCTTTCATGGATGGATTTCTGTTGTATCTCTCAACATCAACTCCATACCCCAGGTCATAAAATTTCACCTTTGTTAACTTCTTTCATGCTATGTTCAAGTCTATACCCCACCTTAATTTCTGTGAAGGTTGTACAAGGGTGTCTTGTTCTTCCTGCATTTCTTCTGAAAAGAACATCTTTGCTTCATTCTTTGCCATTCCACCTTAGACTAAGGTCAGAGGAGCACATTTAAGGACGTCCATTTCTGCACTCCACTCAGCTGCACTGGTCTGTCTGCCTATTCTTTCATGAGCATTGCACGTGCTGATGAGCACAGCTGTGTAGTTTGAAGCCAGGTGTTGGTGTCACACTCCAGGTGTGAAGTGCTTTGGTGCTGGTTCTACTGCTGCCCTTGGAGGTGGGCTGTCATATTCAAAGATTATTTTCCTAACACAGAAATAACAAAGCAATCTGAGCAAAGGGGAAGGAGGCACACCTGTTTCAATGGAAAATCAGACACCGAAATTAATGAAGAGTCTTCTAAAGGGGCAGGGTGGTCCAAGGCAAGGCAAGGGGCTGGGGAAGGGGCAACTCTGCACCAAGCCTGGACTCCTGGGGGCGCCCATGAGAAACTTTCCCGGTTATAGTGTGGGACCTGCACTGGGGTGCTGCAGGATCCTGACAGGAAATCGAGGCCTTTCCTGCTGTGTTAACCTGGACCTTGCCTGTGTTCTTCTTCTAGAGTCCTCGACTGCTCACAGCCATGGGTCAGTCGTTCTCCACAGACGCTAACACAGCGAGTGCTAACTCGGCCTCCAGCGTCAACCAGTATCTAAACAATTTCAAGACCGAAAGTAGAATCCTCTCTGAGGAAACCAGGGCCTTGATTCAGTATTTTCTGGAGAAAGGGGACTTTCCAAAAGCAGTTTCTACAGTTAACTCTGCACTGCAAAACATCGAGAATGCTCCCCTGAGCATTGCGGTGACCGGGGAGAGTGGAGCCGGAAAGTCCACTCTGATCAACGCCCTGCGGGGCATCGGGCATGAAGAGGAGGACTCAGCTGCCACTGGGGCTGTGGAGACCACCATGAAGAGAACCCAATATAAACACCCGAAGTTTCCCAATGTGTACATATGGGACCTGCCCGGCATTGGGACCACCAATTTTCCTCCCAAAAAATATCTGAAGGAAGTAAAGTTTGCTGAGTATGACTTTTTCCTGATCGTCTCTGCCACCCGTTTCAAATACAATGATGCAGAATTGGCCAAAGCCATTGCCAAAATGAAGAAGAACTTCTATTTTGTGCGAACAAAAATTGATAATGAATTAAACAGCGAAAAAAGAACTAAACCAAGAACCTTCAATAAGGAACAAGTCCTGGGAAAAATGCGAAAAAATTGTGAAACACAGTTGCAGGAAGCTCAAGTGACTGGTGCTCAAGTCTTCTTAGTCTCCAGCCTTGATGTGTCTGACTATGACTTCCCTGTGCTGGAGACCACACTTCTGAAGGACCTGCCTGCTCACAAGCGTCACATCTTCATGCTGAGCCTGCCCGCCCTTACAGAAGCCGCCATTGATCAGAAGAGAGATTCCCTGAAGCAGAAGATCTGGCTGGAAGCGCTGAAGGCCGGAGCATCCGCCACCATTCCCTTAATGGCCCTTTTCAGTGAAAGTGAAATAAAGAAGATGGAGCAGAGCTTGGCCCTGTACAGGTCTTCCTTTGGGCTGGATGATGAATCGCTAGAAAGGATGGCAGAGGATTTGAATGTGTCCCTGGAAGAGCTCAAGGCAAACCTTCAATCTCCTCACTTGCTGTTGGCTGAGGGTGATGAGTCCTTTGGGGAGAAGATGAAACAGATTGTTGAGAAGGTTTTAGCAGTCACTGGGGGCCTCATTGCCACTGGCCTATACTTTGGAAAGACCTTTTATTTGCAAAATTATTTCCTTGACGCTGTGGCAAGCGATGCAAAAGCTCTCCTTAAGAAAGAAGATCTTTTCCGTACCTCTGTAGGCTCTGTGGAGACTGACAGAAAATAGGGAAACTGAGGCA